AAAAAAAAAAAAGAGTACATGGTCTGGTCGTCCCTCTATCTTACTAAAAGAAACTTAGTCCGGCCTGGTAACTAAGGAACTCGGTCCTGAGGAGTGCATTCTCAAGCGTCAATCGGTAGTTCATGCGTTACATATCCCACATTGAAAAAACAAGGAACAACATAATGTTATTTAAATGATAAATTTTGATTCGACAATCATAACCGTCCAAAGCCTATAATTGAAACCGTTGGGCCGCCTAAATCGAAATCGATTTTTCGGTTCAAACGCTTTATAATTGGTTTTGGGTCCTAGCGGTTCAGCAACTCAAATCGGACAAATAAGCTGGTCGGTTCTCAATTTAACAGGTCGAATCGGCCGGTGCAGTCCGGTTTTCTGAACCATTAACAAAGAGGAATAACTATTTTCACTATGCTCTAAAGACAGTAAGTTTTACATGATAAGCTATGCAATAGACATATGAAAATATTTGATAAAACGCGAAACAATTATGCAGTAAACTATGTGACTGCAGACGAATACAATTGATATATGCAAAATAGTTATGCGATAAAGTATGCGACAAACATGCAAATATAATTGATAAAGTCCAAAACAATTATGCGGACCTCCATCAACCCGACCTCCAGATAAGTCGCGGCCGCGACCTGCACGTGAATGAGATTTAAAGTTCAGATTTTAGTTCTGCTTAGTGGAGATTTTTTTTTTTCAGGGGGCGCTGGGTTTATTTATCTCGTTCTCTTCCGTTAGAATAAAAGGAGATTTGTTCATCTTTCACTTTTCTTTTGTTAATTTCGCACGTAGAACACGGATCGGATTTTGAATTTCGCTATTTCTCTCGGACTAATCTTGTTTACCGGATTATCATCCAATTTCTATTAATCGTAAGTTTTTCGTTAATTTTTTTTTTTAAACGAACAACTTACGATTAATGGAAATTGGATGATAATCCGGTAAACAAGATTAATCCGAGAGAAATAGCGAAATCCAAAATTCGATCCGTGTTCTACGTGCGAAATTAACAAAAGAAAAGTGAAAGATGAACAAATCTCCTTTTATTCTAAGGGAAGAGAACGAGATAAATAAACCTAGCGTCCCCCTGGAAAAAAAATCTCCACTACGCAGAACTAAAATCTGAACTTTAAATCTCATTCACGTGCAGGTCGCGACCGTGACTTATCTGGAGGTCGCGGTGATGGAGGTCTCGCGGCCGTGGCTGCTCTCCGAGGCCGCGAAAATTGTTCTCTGAAGTCGGCGAGTGCTGGAAGTTGTTTGAACGCCGCGGCCGCGGTGAAGGAAATCTCGCGGCCGCGAGATGAGGCAATTCTGGGTGCGGGTATGGAGGAAAGCAGCAGGTGCCGCGGGGCTGCAGGCTTGCCGCGGCGTGATGAGGATGTTCTCCGCGGCGTGAACTGTTGTCGCAGCGCGAGGAAGGAGGTCGCCGCAGCGTGGAGGAGCTTCGCGACGCGACGGGGCCATTCTGTGCAGCTTCTGGTCTTGAACTTCACGGCATGGCGGGTGAGCCTTTCACGGCGCGGCAGGATTCTGGCACGACGCGGCTGGATTTTGGTCTCGCGGCGAGGGTCATGAATGGCGGAGAAACATGTTTGGTCCCGGGACTGCTCCGCTGCACGCTCCCAGCACGATACTTCGATGACAGGCGGTGAACGGATGCCGGCTTCTTGTGGCGGTTGGAAGGACTTCGGGCCGGTTGGGCAGCGTGCTCGACTTGGCATGTATTCGTCGACTTCTGATATTTGCTTTAAGTGCTGCTTGGTCATTTGCGAATTGGTGCACACATGATTGCCCTCCACTGTATGGTTGCTAGTATTATGTTGCTCCTTTTTTTTTTTAATTGAAGTCGACCGAGGTACCAACCTGCTAACCA